GGCGCTCGGAGATGGGAGAGGATGGCGAGGAGCTGCGGTGGCCCTGAGGACTCTGCGGGGATGCGGTGGCCGGCGGGACAGCCCATGGCAGCGCGGCGGGGCCGCGGGGGCTCTGCCGGCAGCGTGCTGGGGCTGAGCCGCTCGGCGCTGCAGCTGCCGGCGCTCTGGTGGTGGTACCTGTTCCTGAGCGCCGATGCCCAGGAGGTGGCCACGTTCACGGTGCAGTACCGGGTGCTGGAGGAGGTGCCCCCGGGGACCGTCATAGGGAGCCTGGCCGAGCACTTCGAGGGCGGCGAGAGCGGCGAGGCGGCCGAGACCTTCCAGCTGATGGAGACCCCCGGGAGGTTCCCGCTGCGTGTGGGCAGCGGGGATGGGGTGCTGAGCACGGCCGGGCGCGTGGACAGGGAGCAGCTGTGCCGCCACGCCGATCCCTGCTGGGTGTCCTTCGACGTGCTGGCAGCCCAGAACCCGGCCCTGATCCACGTGGAGGTTCAGGTGGTGGACATCAACGACAACGCGCCGCGCTTCCCCACGCCCGAGCTGGAGCTGGAGATCTCGGAGAGCGCGTCCCTGCGGACTCGGATCCCGCTGGATCGAGCCATGGATGCTGACGCCGGCCCCAACGCCCGCTGCTCCTACGCCCTCTCCCCCAGCGAACACTTTGCTCTGGAGGTCGTCTCCGGCTCCGACGGGACGAGGCACGCGGAGCTCGTCGTGGTTAAGGAGGTGGACCGGGAGCTGCACTCCTCCTTCGACCTCGTGCTGACAGCCACAGATCACGGGGAGCCACCAAAATCAGGTACTGCTTTGATTAAAGTCATTGTCCTCGACTCCAACGACAACAGCCCCGTGTTTGCAGAGAGCTCCCTGACGGTGGAGGTTCGGGAGGACGCCCAGCCCGGGACCCTGCTGGTGACAGTCACGGCCACTGACCCCGACCAGGGTCCCAACGGGGAGATCGAGTACAGCCTGAGCAGGCACGCACCCCCTGAGGTGCTGAGCACCTTCAGCATCGACGCCCGCACGGGCAGCATCCTCCTGAGGCTCCCTCTGGACTATGAGGAGACCCACGCCTACGAGCTGGATGTGCAGGCGCGGGACCTCGGCGCCAACCCCATCCCGGCGCACTGCAAGGTCCTGGTCAAGGTCCTGGATGTCAACGACAACGCTCCTGACGTCCACGTCACCTGGGCCACGCGGGTGCCCGTGCTGTCTGAGGCCCTCCCCAAGGACAGCTTTGTGGCCCTGGTGACAGCCAGCGACCCCGACTCGGGAAGCAACGGGCAGGTGCTCTGCTCCCTCAGCCAGGGGTACGAGCACTTCAGGCTGAAGAGGACCAACAGCCACAGCTTCGCTCTGCTGACCAACGCCTCGCTGGACCGCGAGCGGCGCGCCGAGTACAACCTGACGCTGGTGGTGCGGGACATGGGGGACCTGTCCCTGGCAGTGCTGAAACACCTCACCATCTGCATCAGCGATGTCAATGACAACGCCCCGGCCTTTGAGAAGGCTGCCTACGAGGCTGCTGTTGCTGAGAACAGTGAAGCCCCTGCCTTTCTGCTCACTGTCCATGCCACCGACCCTGACCTGGGCTTCAATGGGAAAGTCACCTACAGGATCCTGGACCCTTCTGCTTTGGGGCTGGTCTCAGTCGACCCCGTCACTGGGGATGTTTTTGCCCTCCAAGCTTTTGATTACGAGCAGGTGAGGAGCCTGGAGTTCCTGGTGACAGCGGAGGATGGAGGGCATCCCAAGCTGGCATCCAACATCTCCATCAGGCTGGCTGTGCTCGACCGGAATGACAATGCACCCATCATCACCGTGCCAGCGCTGGTGGGAGGGGTGGCCACGCTCTCCGTCCTGGTCAATGTGGACACTGGGTGCTGCTGGGTGGTCCCTGGGAACGGGAGCACACAAGGGGCTGTGGCAGTGACCAACTCCACACTTGTGTCATGCCCTGGCAGCCCCTTCCTCTTCACCATCGTGGCCAGGGATATGGACTCCGGCGTCAATGGGGCTCTCCGGTATGAGCTGCTGGGTGGGGATGATAGCGGGCTCTTCATCCTGGACCCCCTCCTGGGGCAGGTGTCCCTCAACACCAGCAACGCCAGCAGCCTGGCCGGCAGCCAGCGGGAGCTGCTGGTCCGGGTGAGCGACCAGGGGGACACCCCCCTGCACACCCTGGCCCGGCTCCGCTTGCTTTTCCGGCATCATGGGGCCTTCTCCAAGATGTCAGCACGGGATCCCGGCTGGCCCAGCCTGTCCGTGGTGCTCATCATCTGCCTGGCCGCTCTGCTGGGCGCCTGCCTGCTGCTGCTGGCCCTGACCCTGTCCCTGCGCAAGAAGGACAAGAAGGACGGCATGGCCTACAACTGCCGGGAGGCCGAGGACGCCCGCAGGCAGCAGCAGCTCAAGAAGCCGCACAGGCAGATCCAGA